GAATTACAGGAAGGTGCGCATAGGTATTCATTCAGTAACCAGATAAAAAATTATTTCAGGAAAATTGGTGAAACTTCCTCCTCGGTTATGCCAATTTTAAACTTATTTTTCAAGTGTGCTTTTAAGGAGCTGTCTTATGAGCTGTGAATTGTTCAGGTACCAGAATTCAAATTAGCCACTTTTTTTTTCCTACAGAAAGTCTGTTACCGAGACCAATTCCTCACCTTGACGGTTGAGCTAGCTGTGAAGTCTTCTTGCACTTAGTGTTAAGAAATGCTGTTGTGGTTGGTATTCAGCATCTTTTAAGCCTATCAGTTAAGTTTTCCTGAAGTTGTGGGGTGCATCCTGTGCTTCTTAAACACCAGTTGCATTTAAGGAGATGTACGTTTTTCAGCCAGATAAATGATTTCATCTCTGTCCCTGCCCTGAACTCAGCAGAACTGATGCAATGCATCAGGAGCCCACACCCTGCTGCCACGGAGCGGATCCAGCTCTGCAGAGCAGCGTTGCAATTACAGGGGGGGCTCCGAGTGTCAAAGCTGCAGTAGGAGCCGGCAAATGACTCTTCTAGCGCTTGAGAGCTTGGGGTAGAAGATGCTTTTCCTAAGGGCTCCAGCAAAAGACCCCATGTGCTTGGCTTCTGTGCAGGGTGTTTAGCTCTCAGATTTCAATCTTAATTGTCATGTTCATGAGGGAAACTCCCTGTAGTACCCGTGTGCCTTCAGCGTATAAACAAAAAAGCCTGCCAAAGCCGTGTTCGCTCTTACTGGGATGCAGGGTGTCCCAGCTCTACCAAATGGCACTCTGCATTAGTCCATGACCAAACATTTAAATTAAGATGGGAAAGAAAAACCTAGATGAGTTGGAAGACTTTTAGATTTGTATTTTTAACAAAGAATATTAAATAAGCAAAATCTTAGTATAAATTTAAGGCTGACTTAAACATACCAAATTGAGAAGAATCAAAGTCTTGTTTCTCCCAATAATATTTGTTTACTTGCGATCCTTTTACCCTATAATTTATTTGGCAAAGTACATCTTTTGCAGCACTTCATTTATAATTGTAGTCTAAGTTGTTCTAAGGGGCTTGTTTATATATATAAAAGTCATAATTTGAGGTATAATGTTGTTTAGACTTTCCTGATTTTGCACATGCTTTCTTGCTAGGGTGATACTTTTTGCATGGAAGTGTATGATCTCTATTTTCTTAACTTTGAATGGAATAAGGATAGCATGTGGCTCATCAAGTCCTTAGCTATATCTGACTATAGATATACATATGCAAGTACCAGTTCTAAGTAAAACACTGGCGAAAAAATGCATTGAAGAGTTTAATCAGGATGAGTTTGAGCTCCAGCCTGATTCAGAGATGATTTTTTTTGGCTCAGACTGCTCCATTAAATTGAGTGTCTTCAAATTTTTAAAATATTTTGCTTTGCTTCTTTAGTGTAAGCGATGTGGTATCTATTGCAATAGCTTAATTTATGTAAAAAGGAGTGCTGTTTCTATGCTGAAAGCATGGTGGATAAGTTCTGTCTGCTAAGCAGTAGTAACATCTCATCAGCCTGGACTGTGCCGTTAAAAGGGTTGGTCTTGTCTTCAATCTTCTGGACTTTGGCTAAGAGAAAGATAAATAAAAGTTTTCCTGGTTCTCTGTTCTCTCAGTTCCCTCTTCTAGTGGCAATAAACTTAAATTGCCTTAGCTAAGATCTATATGTAATTTTCCTTATGAACTATATCTATACAGTTATATCTTTGAAAAGGTTGATTATAACCTTTTTCAAAATTTATAACCAGTTTTTAAATTTAATTGTCGTTATCTGTGAAACGCCTTCTTAGAAAAGATGATTTACATTTAGTGCGTAAAATAACCTGTTGAACATAGTAGATGCATGGCCTCCGATAAGCTACTCCAGAAGATACAACTTGGTACAGCAAGATCTTCATAGCAAGCATTCCCATAGACTCGTCTAAGAATCCTTCATCTGATGTCTGCACGACTAGTAATTAGTACTGAGACCCAAAATCCATCTTCCAGCTGGAACCAGCTGAATGCTTTCAGTACCAGTTTCTCCTTAGTTTTAAAGTCAAAATGAGATTGCAAGATACTTTCATGCGCTTCAGTTTGTTCTACGTAAGGGTGAAAAACTTCAACCTGCAAATAGATATGATCAGTCTGATGTAGCTATTTTTCTCTTTCTATGTAGCATCCAACACAACCTAAAGTGATCTGCAAATGGGGAGACAAAATGCCTACTCTGAATGCATCACAACCTTAAAAGCAAGGAGGAAATAAGATACTATGAACGCAAGTGATTGCGTAAAAGAATATTCAACACTGACCTGATTAGTTCCTTATTTCCCCTTCTCTCCCAAGAGTCAGTCTATGGATACTAAACTGTTGAGTTGGACTATTGAGTTGTTGGATTCACAGCTATCTTCCAATCCATATACAGCAGGATGGGTCCCACTATTCGTGGTGAATCACTGGTATGCCGAGTCTGGTCCCTTCCCTTCCTGTGGGCAGCTGTTGACACACAAATGATTTAGGGGGCAGTCGAGGCACCTCTGAGGCTATTCCAAACTTGCATATTTTGCGTGGATACCTAATTCGGTCAGGGCTTTCAGGGTAAGGTGGCAAATTACCTCAGTGACCAGCTCCTTACTATAGTCTTAAAGGGCACATAATGCATACATGCTCGAAAAACATGTTCACGGTCATATGGAGAAGAGGTAGCTCTATAATGGAAGCTACCTCAGGTAAAAGATTTATTTTTTTATCACTTCCCCTTGCAAAGTCAAGGGAATGGATCATCTTCTTAGACCCCACATAAATCTAGCTCCAGGTCATCCGCAGCAAAAGTAACGGGAAGTGAATTGCCAGTGCCCTTTCATAATTGCAAATCCTTAATTAAGGAAGGGTACAAGGAGGCACTTAAAATGCCAACCTCAGCAAGTAGCAGACTCCACTACTTGTGAGAATAAATTATAACTCATCAGAACAGAATTGGGTTTTTTCATTAATGTAGTTGGTAATATTCAGAGACTTAAAATTAGATAAAAGGCATTGTTCTAGGGTGGAAGACTCTTGTCTTACTCCTCAAAACCGTGTGTGAGGTACAAAACCTTTGAAGACTGTGTCAGGCTTACTGGGCAGTGCCGTTTTGCTTGATTCTGCCTTGACTTACAATCAGTTTAGCAGAAGGTAGAACAGCTAATTTAGTCTGGTGATCCCTTCACTCTCTTACTGTGAAGGTTTAATTTCCAGTTAGTGAAACCAGACCCCACTTTTTGGCTCTTGGGAGAATATGTAGGGTTTTATTTGGATTTGGAGCTCGCCTGTTACTATGGCAGTTTATTGAGCAAAAGCTCGTGTGCAGTGTCAAGTGGATTTTAAATAGAGAAAAAAGGGCTTAAGGAATATTTCTGGGCATCTCAACTATTGCTGAATACCAACTTACCATGATGTTTATGCGAGTTTACTTTTAATTAGCAAGAACCTAGAGTGAATAGAAAGTAGTGTATACATACACATTTTTAAGCATTTTGCTAGACAGGGCTCTTATGTTTGCTGCTTTTGTATTTTTTTCTGCTTTTCCAGTTTATGACTAGTTCTTGAAGCCCAAAGTACTGTTTTGTTGCCACCAAAGCACTCTTTTCTGCTTCATTTCCAAAATAGGACTTCACAAAAAAGCAACATATTGTCTTGCGTAAGAACTAAATCAGACCTTGAAGGGGAAAGATTTGCATCCTGATTCTCTACTTCTATATCATGCACATCATTTACACCTGTCTAGATAAATGTAAAAAAAGGCAACCACCTTGTTTTTTGTACTGACTAAAACCAGCAAAATACTAGGTATTTCAGGAATAGTAGATGTGCCAATAAAGCTTACCAAGAACAGGTCATAGAGAAGTGAGTATAAATATCTTTATGAAGGTCTTTATTCCTTTAAATACGGTATTACTTTTCATAAAGGCATTCAGAACAGAATTCAAACAAAGACTGTTTTCCCTTTAAAGCAGCAATTCTTAAATGAAAAAATGAACAGTATTCTTATTTCTGCTGGTTTGGGGTCTTTTTTGGTCTGTAGCTAAAGTCTGTCAGTTTCTGCCTGTTTATCACATACAGATTATTTTAAGGTGTGGGGTTTTTTTATTGATATGCTAAGCAAAATTTTGCATAACTGTCTTTGCATGCAGTTCCATATAAAATAATTAAGACTTGAAATTCTATAACTGAAACAGTCTCCCCATAGAGGTAATTAATTGTAAGGGGAAACCAAAAAATGTAGGTTGATTCCTGTTAATTACACCTCTCCTTCAGAACACAGAATGCTAAAGAAAGCCTTGAGCAAGTGGTGTTCTTGCTGCTGGTAGTATTCTGTAACTTTGTATAGTAAAATATTTACAAAATAAAAAATGGCCAGGATAATACCATACTTCTGTATCAGGTTATGAAGGAAGTCTTTTGGCTTGTAGTACCAACTAGCCTAGACAATACATTCTCCTTCATTACACTAAAGATCACAGAAAGAGTTCGGGGTTTGTTCTCTCAATGTGTATCTATCTACAGTGATAGTCTTAGCGTAAATCAGAACCTATTTTCTGCTATTGGCTTTTATTAATTTTATTTTGAAGGCAGAAATCTGAAGCCCAAGCCCTAAAAAAATACATGTAATACTCCTTCATTCCACATGTGGTTCACAGCCTAAATAAGCCTAGATCATAACGAGCTGCTCAGTTTTTAGGCTTAGCTCTGAGAAATTTTCAACGTTGCTGTGACTACTTGTTGTGTATTCAAGGCTATATTCCCACTGCAAAAGTCTGCAGGTGTCATTCAGCCCCATTTACAATGTAGTCTTATATTTTCTTGACAGAAACAGCTTTATTAAGCGCACCAATGCTGTGAAATGTTTTGGTGGGTTGTTTGTAAAAGGAAATCTATTCAATCTTTTTTGCAGTAAGTGTTAATTATTAGTCATTTGCTTTTTTTGTAGGAGTTCTCTGGAATCTATCCTCCTGTGATGCACTGAAAATGCCAATCATCCAGGATGCCCTCGCAGTGTTGACCAATGCAGTGATCATCCCTCACTCTGGATGGGAAAACTCTCCGCTCCAGGATGATCATAAAATACAACTCCATTCGTCACAGGTGCTGCGCAATGCCACTGGGTGCCTAAGGTGAGTACTGTGAAACATTTGCTTTGCCTTAATCATCTTGCTTTGGCTTGAATTGTTATTTCTCATTCTTAGGCATCTGCAAAGTAAATAATTGGTTTGTGTGTCAGCAAAGACAATGCCTTTCAGTGCTGTAAACTTAAAGCTGTAAATTAATTGGAAAACAAGCTTCAGGCCATTCAAAAAACAATCTCTAGAGGCGCTGCTGTGGGTTTTCCATATTTCTTTTCTTAACAGCTTTGGCCAATCTTCTCATCCAAGCTTGTATATTACAGATGTTTTTCTCCTTGTAGATTGGTCCCAGTTCCCAGTTGCTTAAGTGAAATCAATATGTTCTCACTATTACACCCAATTTAATCAGCACAAAAAGTAATGAAGATGCTCAAAGAAGTAACATGCCTTACGGGTTCCAGATGCCATTGCTGGAGTTATGATAAATAAATAAAGTAGATTTTTTCTGCTCTGTGAAAATGAGGAATGGATTTCAATAAGAGACCAATCAATTTAACATTGTGCAACTAGAATACTTAAAGAGATCCTTAACAAGTATGGTATTTATTTATATTTGTATGCCAAACTTGTATGTGCAGCACCAAGGTGCACTTATATAAATATGTGCAACATGATCTGTCCGTTCCTAAAAATCACTATAGATGTGAGAATGAAAATATGATGAGTAAGAAGCTTTTCAGTTCTGATAAAGCCTTACGAAAGGATTGAGTCATAGCAATTTCTGAATTCCAATCCGTATCATTTTGTTGAAATATTTTATAAAATTAGGCAAGTTCTTTTAAGCATTTTTTTTTCTCCTTGTATATTGGAGATTCTGTAATCGTATCTGAGAGACATGAAAATCGATTAGTTAATATTTTTACATACATCACAGAAAAATTGTTACGTGAATAGTATGTATCAGTAATACAATCTAAGTTGTATGCAGCATTCAAAGCAGATACCCATCAAAGAGCTAAATAAAAAAAAAAACATTGATTGGGAGGCAAAGTAAAATAGCAGTATTTTTTACATATCTATAGCAAGCACCTTTTTCTCTTTGTGCTGTTTCATCAAATTAACTGTCTCCCTTTCAGAAGTAATATCTGAAAAGTTTAAGGGAAAAAGTGATAATTATTGACAGTTTATATGTAATCAGAAGAGAATGAAATATAGAAGGTAGTAACTTCCATATTGCAAATATACTTGTATTGGACTTAAATGCAAGTATGTATATGTGAATACCAGCTATGTTGGGATATGTGACTGAAGCTAGGAATTTGTATCTGAGTTGTATTGATTTTGAAAAGAGTCTGGTAGTATAATTGTGTTGCATTACGTTCAAATCACTAGAAAAAAAGTTGCTCAAATCATTGTGACAGAAGTCATTCCATAAAGACATGTACCGTGTTATACTTTTCACACTTCCGATGTTTAACCTGTCTCAGTTAAAAAGCTGCTTCTGAAAGAAGTGTCCATTATTAATTTGGGGCTTCACGGTGCCTCTTATCTGAACGGGCATGTTCAGCGTTGGTCTCCCCACACCATAAGCTCTATCTTCCTGTTAATTTTTCCCAACTGCTTCTCAGGGACTGACGTCCATCCCTGATCCTGCAAACCTCAATTCATCCTACCTCATAGTTGATGGATTCGTTGCACATTGGTCTTGAAATCTTTCTTCTTTTTTTTTTTTTTGTGAGTGTATGTGCACGCCCATTTGCAAACTGATGTGAGCTTACTGTAGCCTGCACGCTGGGTCAACTTGAGGACATGTGGCCACATGAGAATGGTATGTTGCCTGATGAAATACACAGTGCTTTGCAGCAAGGCTTACTACCAAGTGCTTGATGGTACACTGTCATAGCAGAATGGCTTCTGGTCAGCTCATGCAAAATAAGCTCATATCTGCCTGCAAAAGACTGTGCATATTATAACTCTTGAATCCTTCCCAGGTAGCTGTAATAATTCGAATGGCTGTCCTGAGCAGGTTGGTCTTCCTTCTAAATCCAGGCCCTTCAACCATAGTATGGCCTTTTAATATCTTTCTGATCTCAAACCCTCCTTATTTCCCAGATGCACCTTTCTCTCCTCTCTAACTGCTTCAGATATTTATTTGGCCTTCATCCATCTTCTTTAGATAATTTCATCCCACGTAGTCTGTGTGGATGCTCTTTGGCAGAGCCAGAACATTTGGAGAGGGTTGAACTTACTTTTGCTTCACACCAGCAGGAGCTTTCTTGTTTACCTTTCCCCAGTCGCTGTTGAAAATCTCTCCCTCTCTGAACAAAATGTCAAGTTTGAGTTTGTGCAAGGAAGAAGAGTGTAAGTTGACCTCCGAAATGGTGACTGGATTCTTGTGTTGTATTCAGCTAAGATAATGGGACTGTAGGATGGAGGAAATAGTGAATGCCAGAAAGAAGAGATTAGAAAGCTCTGTGTTTTACTGGAGATGACTGGAGTAGCGCATGCTCTGTGCAGGTAGTATCTTAGCTAGCGTTCCTCAAATACCCACCACTCCCAATGAACTGAACAGCTCTCACACTCTCCACTTGTGACTAGTTACAAGCCTCGTATTTCCATTTCAAGATCTCACTGGATGGGGAGGTAATGAAAAGCAAGAAGATGTAATGGCATTGCTGGCTGAGACATGGCTGTGCTTACCTGGTAAATGGAAAGTCCATTGTCATCTTCCATGGGAGAATTTCTTCTAAGACTCTGGTTTGGTTGTGCTTCGCTGTTTTCTTTTTCTCTTTTTGTTTGAGTTGTTTTGAAGTTGATTTGAAGGGACACCGGTCAGTATCAGTTGCATCAGGATTATCAGTGACGGTGCTCAGTATCATAGGAAAAGTAGCTGTCTTCAGAATACTTGACAAATGTTTCTAAATCTCTGATGTTGACAAGTTTTAGAGACATCAGGTTGTATGACGTAAGGTTTAATGCTAACAAATATGCTAGGAGGCTTCTTTTTTTTTCAGTCTTCTGTGCCTTTGGCTTTTTGATGCATCCACTGTTGAAAGCTTTAAATAATATCTGATAGGTGCTGTAATACAATACATTCCATATACAATACTAATAAATAGTTTGCAATGACCATTATTTAGGAATAGCCAGATCTTTGTTTTGTGTTTTTCACTACAGTATATGAATTATTATTCTTTCTGCTGATCTTCCCTTTTCTCAGTTTCTTGATGAGAGTTTCTTACGGTTTTTTAATTTAGAAGTTGGCTATTAGCTACAAGTTTTAGTACTCTTTTCTGCTTATTCATTATCATTCTTGAGCAAGTTCTTAATACATTTAAAATTATGCTGTGTGGGACCAGTACTGCAACTCCAGTCGCACAGTAATCCAGCTGAAATCAGTATGAAATCATGTGAAAAACAGCAGCAAAATCGGACCTTCTTTTCCTGTTACTTTCTTCTTTCCTGAAATAGGTTATTTACAAACTCCACTTAATTCTTTTGTGATTTGGGGGGGGGGGAGCTTTAATACAATATTGTACTAATTAATTTCACATAACTTGAATACTTTGAAATGGTTTAGATAATTCAAAGCTCTAAATACTGCGTTATACCTATGAATTAAAAATTTATTCTTAGTGCTCATCTTTCATAAATTGCCAGACCTCAGTGTGACGTGCTAGAGTAATCACCCAATTTATTTGCCTCCCCACTGAGATACTACTACTTTACTTCATTAAGCTCTGTGAAAGTTTGAATTTTTTCCTTTTGGATTTCAGCTGTGACTTCTTTATTTGTGTTAGGGAAATACTGTATCTTTGGTTTATAGTTTCGGATTCATTTAGACTTATTAGGGAAAGTCAAGTGAAAACTTAATTTTGAATCCCAGTTATTTATAGGGGGGTTTACAATCCCTAATCTGAAATTTAGAAATCAAGAGGAGACATGTTGTACAATGTTGTCTTAATCTGAAGTGTCAAGCTTACTTATCACCAAACTAGATCTCCGTCCAAAGACTATCCGACAAAATCCCAGACAAAATCTTTTCAAGAGTTTTTGTCCTGATATACAGTCTGGAGCCTTGTTTTTTCCTAGGAATTTTAAGATGAATTTAAGTTAATAGAATCTCATCTGAGGACTTTAAGGAATTTTAAGATTTTACTGCTTTAAGATTCTGATCTGGTTTTAGATTCAAAATCATAAAATGCTGTGGTTTTCTTTCTTCCATGTTCTATTTAATTTTTCATCTTACAGTGAACGTATGGGGCAATTGTGAAAATCAAAGATCTATTAAAATATGTGTCTTCCCACCCCATTAGTTGATTAGAAGTTGTGTGGGAGAGTAACTCAGGAATTTTTTGTTTATAAAGCCCCATACCTTTCAGATTTTCATACTTGATACTTTCATCCTTGTCAAACCTTTCACAAAATACCATGAATTATTTTTCAACTGAAAAAAATACGTAGCAAGCTCTCAGAGTAGAAAAGCAAAGGGGAAAAGTGCTTTTAAAACATGAATTGAATGTAACTGACCCTGCAGTATTTTGTGGATAGATCAACTTTTGGAAGGAACAAATTACCTTGTTAAAACAGTTTGTGTTAACCATGATGCCTGAATATCACATGTTTTTAACTGTTTTGTGGATGAATGATCTGTTCCACAGACATTTACAGCTAATGCATTTATCCCACTGTCTTATTTCTGCTCCAGTTCTCTTCTAAGCATCCAAAGTCTGTTGATTCCTATTCTTAGGACCTTCTATAATCTGTTTTGAATATAACATTCTGCTGCATACTGACAAAAGAAAACATGGGAGCAGCATAAAATAAATAGCACAGACTGTATATCCATCATCTGTTTAGTTTCTTAAGAAATATACATATATATGACGAAACATTCTTTTATATATATATGAAACATGTTTCTTAAGAACTAAACTGATACATGTACATATGTGCATGTGTATATGTGTATACACATATAGACATAAAAGGGCTGATTACTGAAGCTAAAATATGTTTCTGTCTTTATGGACTGGTGCAAGCTCTGAATA